AATACTCAAGTAAAGTACAGATACTCAAAAAGTGTACTTAAGTACAATACTCAAGTAAATGTACTTAGTTACTGTCCGCCTCTGCTTTTATATGATCACAGGTGACGCTACAACAGGGGTGCCCAAACTCAGTCCTGGAGGGCCGGTGTCCTGCAGAGTTTAGCTCCAACTTGCCTCAACACACCTGCCGAGAAGTTTCTGGCATGCCTAGTAAGAGCTTGATTAGCTGGTTCAGGTGTGTTTGATTAGGGTTGGAGCTAAACTCTGCAGGACACCGGCCCTCCAGGACCGAGTTTGGGCACCCCTGCGCTACAAGCAACACTAAAATGGATGTACACTCCCCCTAGTGTTAGTTGGATATTTCTGTACGCTGAATTTATTTTATTTAAATACAGTTAATGTGCTGATTAAATTATGAAAAAAAGTCAGAAGATTTTCTTTAATTGGTTCATCTCAAGTTTATGAACTGAATTTATGAGACTTGACTGATTAATACCATGCATAATTAATAGCTCTGGTCTTAGTAGGGAGAACAACAAAAGACACCCTTGATCAAGAAAGTCTTTATTGATGTTGCATCAGTACTGTCAAGTACTTGTAGATTTTGTATGAGCTGACAAAATATGTTCAATCAAAGAGTGCATTTAATACCCAAAAATGGATTGCATAAAGTGAATGCAATACGACAAAAGTTCTATAGATTGATAGATACATCATAAAAGAAAGAAAGAAAAACAATGGTAGTGTGTGCTACAAACTCCTTGATGCTGTTAAATATAAGGTTATTTGTACGTTCAGGGTTTCAGTTGGACATTCCTTACTGGACTATCACAAATGTATAAATATGTCTTCATTAAGTTCTTGTGCAAATAGGATTGGTTGTTTCTTTTAATTTGATTGATCATGAATAAATATCCCATGGAACAGAATCAAGGCTTTTTCCCCTAGTTTGTTTTGAATGACAAAAGGAAGCAACATAGTCTAAGCAGTTTTGAGATATTGCAGCACAACGGATTTTTTAAATCTTCAATCCATTGCACACAAACAATATACACTCATCATAGAAAATATTGGTCACAGTGTTAATATACAACAAAAAGGTCATCAAATACATGCTGAAACAGGACAGATCTGGTGCCAAAACATCATTCAAGAGCAAATAATCTGAACAATGTCATGCAACAAATGTCATGTAACCGTGTATTGAATGGGCAACCTGGTGCATTTAAGTTATATTATTGACACTCCTTTAGACTGATTCAGGTTATATCATTCTACATACTGGTCAAACAAACAGAAGTGAGAAAATGTCTTTCAAGAGGGACTTCAAGCCTCATTTGCTATTTTTCACTCACTTCAGTATATGTGCAAGGAACTATTTATTTGTTTGAGGATGTTTAAATTTTTTAAACTTTTATAAACACCACTGGAGCAGTGCTATTACAGTGTGATGTATCCAAATCATGTCCATTTTTTGTCAAAATGTAAAAGATTAGGACACGCATTGACTCATGTTAGTGTCAATAATGTCTGTGTAATTACAAGTCTCAGAAGAATGTAAAAAAACAATCAGTCAAATGTGTCATTGATAAAGCAGCAATTTGAAAAGCGATAGAGAATGTAAAACGTTTAGAGTATACAATGCAGTAGTTTGGATTTTGTGTTGGAGAATGGATTTGTTATAAAAAAATTCTGAATTATATTTTCATATTCTCAGTCTGTTAGTAGTCCCTTACTCACCAATGTACTCTAGGATATCGTAAGATATTGATGAGAAGCTGTACGCTATGTATTAGCTTTGATGCCATGATTTTTTAAGTACACTCTCAGAAATAAATGTACAAAAGGTGTCACTGGGGCTATTTGTTTGAGGATGTTTAAATTTTTTAAACTTTTATAAACACCACTGGAGCAGTGCTATTACAGTGTGATGTATCCAAATCATGTCCATTTTTTGTCAAAATGTAAAAGATTAGGACACGCATTGACTCATGTTAGTGTCAATAATGTCTGTGTAATTACAAGTCTCAGAAGAATGTAAAAAAACAATCAGTCAAATGTGTCATTGATAAAGCAGCAATTTGAAAAGCGATAGAGAATGTAAAACGTTTAGAGTATACAATGCAGTAGTTTGGATTTTGTGTTGGAGAATGGATTTGTTATAAAAAAATTCTGAATTATATTTTCATATTCTCAGTCTGTTAGTAGTCCCTTACTCACCAATGTACTCTAGGATATCGTAAGATATTGATGAGAAGCTGTACGCTATGAATTAGCTTTGATGCCATGATTTTTTAAGTACACTCTCAGAAATAAATGTACAAAAGGTGTCACTGGGGTGGTACCTTTTTGGAAGGTACTAATATGTACCATTACTAATATGCACTTTAGGCACTAATATGTATGTAATATGGGGGAAATAAGGCACAAAGTCTAACCTTTTGAAAGGGTACCGCCCTAGTGACAGCTTTTGTACCGTTTTTTCTGAGAGTGTATGGAATTAGTGTCACAGAAATGTATTTGTTATATTTGTTTTGTTAATGCAGGCAATGTTGTACAGCAGTCCTCTTGAGGCCTTCAGGATTGCTACTGATTTAAACCTGGCATGTTTTGAGCAAACAACTCAAATAACAAGTAAATCATCAAGTAATTTTTCGTCTTAATAACTCTCAAACACAATGTAGTTGTCGCAGAAACAGACAGATTAGCACATCATTTTTGCTTTAACGCAGTAAATCAAATAAAACATATATACCTAATGACTAAAGCAGATAGATATTCACCTGTTTGGCATTAATAAGATAAAACAACAACAATGTGGAACTGAGGATTATTCTTTAAATTACGGATGTATTTAAAACATACAAATACAATAACAATGTTGTATAGAATGGCTGGATTCTAAAATGTGAAATGTGGCATGAATCAAGTAGCCTGTGTTATATGAGGGTAAGATATAGGTGAATTAGACTGCAACCAGGGTAACACATAACCCCAGAGTCAACATGATGAGCTCAATGGGAGTCAGAACATTTGGCAACATGTGCAGTCACATGGGTAAGTCTTCAAATGGTTACCTACGCATTGCAAAGTACGTAATAGTCTGATTGTGATAAACAACAACAACAACAACATCAATAAAATAACACCATTATATCAACATCAACAAAAATAACATAACAGTTATAATAAAATTATCATATAGGCAGAAAATGACAACACTTGCAAGTAAAACAATGATCAAATCAAACATTTGAAAGAGAGGGTGAAAACAGAGACACAGCATGAATTCTCCATCCTCTGCTTCGAACTCAGCCTCTCCATCATTCAGCAAGTCTTTCTTGTAATCTAGTCGCTGTTATCACAGATGTTACTGCAGGGCACTTGAGCAAGCAATTCTCCTTTGAGACGGACCGTTATGTGGGGCACAGGAGGAACCCTGAGAAGGACGAATGGATGTACTCAGTGGAGTAGAGCCCATTTGCTTGGTCAGAGGGCATTTGCACCCAGACCTGGTCGTTCTCTTTCAGCTCTAGTACCGCACTACCTGATGCCTGGTCCATATAGCCCTTCTTGTATTCATCATAGGTGTATGTGGCTGGCACATTGTTTTTATACAGTGCCACCCACAGGCTGGTTCCCTTTACATGTACATGATAAGCAAAATAGTAGACTCCAGGCAGTGGGCTTGTGAAAATGCCTGTGGCAGGGTTGTAAGCATTTTGCCCATTGTACAGAATTCTGTCAAATTTGATCGGCATTCCAGATGGTGGAAATGGTGTCGTCAAAATAGCAGTAAAAGCAGGAGCCACGGAGGCAGAGAGCTCAGCCTGACCAAAATAGGGTTTCTCACCATTTGGCTTTGGAATGGATTCTCCTACAATATTTGGTCCTTGAACCGCTAACTGATTTATATCACCATTTGGCGGTCCAGGAGACCCAGGAGGTCCAGGTGGACCTGGAGGGCCCTGTATACCGCTAATTCCAGAAGGGCCGGGTCTTCCTGGAGGTCCTTGTGGGCCAGGCATACCTTTGTCTCCAGGCTTTCCAATTCCTTGGGGGCCTGGTGGACCTTGTTCGCCTTTCAACCCTGGAACACCTTGAGGTCCCATATGACCAGTGGGGCCTGGGAGTCCAGGAATCCCTGAATTGCCACGTGGCCCAGGGGGTCCTGGAAACCCATTCTCACCTTTTGAACCTGGTCCCCCAATCAAACCAGGATTACCTGGCAGTCCGATGTGACCCGGTTCACCTTTAGGTCCAGGTTTGCCTGTGGCTCCGTTGAGACCAGGAAGGCCCTTATCCCCTGGGAGGGCAGGTTTTCCTGGGAGCCCACTGGGACCCTGATCTCCTCTAAGCCCTGGCAATCCCGGAGGTCCTTGTGGGCCATTCTCTCCCTTTAGACCAGACATCCCATGTTTCCCTGGAAGACCCATAGGACCTTGTGAACCTGAAAGCCCTGGCTGTCCAGTTGGCCCTGAATCTCCTGGTAGACCATCCATCCCAGGTTCTCCTTTGTCACCAGGGGCTCCTTCTAATCCAGCAGGACCTCTGTCTCCTTTCTGTCCTACAAGCCCTGGTTTACCATAGCCAGGGGGACCAGGAAACCCAGGAGTTCCTCTGGACCCAACATCACCCTTAGGACCTATTGGGCCTGGGTTACCTGGAGCACCACCAAGTCCAGGTTTTCCTACACCAGGTGCCCCCGGCTGACCTTGTAGTCCAGGGAGACCAGATTCCCCTGGGACACCTTGAAGTCCTGGAACTCCTTTATCTCCTTTTGGCCCTACTGGCCCGGGAAATCCATCAATCCCTGGTTTACCCAACCCAGGAAAACCTGGAAGTCCTGGAGGTCCTTGAAGGCCAATGGGTCCCCTGGGACCTATTGAACCTGGTTTTCCATTGCCATTTTCCCCTTTAGGTCCTTGTTCACCAGGAATACCATGTCCGCCTTTAGGCCCCAAATCACCTCTTGATCCTGGTGGGCCTCTAGTCCCAGGTAACCCTGGTCTACCATTCAATGACAGACCTGCTGGTCCAGGTGCTCCTGGCTGACCTGGAAGTCCACGTGTACCCACCTCTCCACGAGGCCCAACCTCACCATTGAGTCCTGAAGGTCCTTTAGGTCCTATCTTTCCTGGTAAACCTGGTAGCCCTGGTTTTCCAATCCCAGGGAATCCTGGAGGCCCTGAAGGACCTGTTTGACCATTTAGACCAGGTTGTCCTATACTTGATTTCCCTGGTAATCCAGGAGGCCCAGGTGGTCCCCTTGGTCCTGGTTTCCCTTGAAGACCTGGCTCCCCTTTAATGTCCATCACCGGTGGAAACTCTGCAATAAAAAAGAAAAATTCATAACTTCATAAATAAATTAATAAAAGAAGATTTAGCCAATGTAAGAATTTAAAGACACAAATTTTATTTCAATTAATCTCTGTGCCATCAAAAAATATTGTTTGTTTCCATGTAGAGGGGACCCTAAAGTGCTAGTGAGACTACATTTGCGATGTGCTTTACTCAACATTATGCTTAAGTGCCTGCTCAATGGAAGCTACGCAGGTATGCAACAAAGGCCTACAGGGAAAAGTGAATGTGTTTATGGACAAAACATAAACAAAGGACAAGGACAAAATTCAACAGCATTTGACCTCACTGGAATTTCATCAAAGGAACTGCAGTGATGACGTTTGACAGCCATGTTTGTACTAGGAACAACCAAACTATGCAAGTCAGGAAAACACTGCAAAGTCGCATTCACCTTACTTCTCAATAAATGTTTTGAGAGATGAGTTCAGAATTAACAGTACATTACATTTTGACTTTAAAATGGTCCATTTCACTGACCTGATGACACATGTGTCCTGACAAGTCCCACGTGACAATAGCTCAAATCCTTTGCATAATCTTTAGTCAAATTGGTCAATGTTAAAATGTGCTTTATGCTTATGACTTCTATTGATGATTTCTAAAGTATTTTTTTGAGGAATACATTTAAAATATTAGTGAAATGAAATATAATCAAGCATAATTATCTTTATAGATTATAGATTATAGATTTTATGGCTCTTGAGTACCTAATATATATATATATATATATATATATATATATTCATCCACTTCTCTGTAAATATTTTCTTTATATTCTCATCTGTATATGCTTTAGAATGGTATACTCTGTTTGTGAAGCGCCCTCAAGTGGTAAAATGATTTATAGCATAGGCCTAGATATTCAACATGCCTCAACTGGTTTAGAGGAAGAATTTAGATCATTACATTTACAAATAAAAAAATAATAATTCAATATCGCTTTTGTTCTGTAAATTCTATTTACTTAACCCATCTGATACCATCACTGTACCACCTTAAACTTCATGCCCCAAAATAAACAGACAACTACACGGAATCTCCTATAACAACTGCTATTGTACAGAAGTCAGTGGAATTTAGAAATGGTCAGCAGGAAAAAAAATAGAACTGGGTACATATGGCTCTCAATAGTTTAAGCACAATGCTGGTTTAGAGAGGTTGTCTGTACCCAATTGCAGGTTTTATTTAGTATATTTATTTATTAATGAAAATTGCCTTAGGTTTCAACTGGATAAGCAATGTGTAATATCACAGACACTTTTCAAACAAACTCTGTGTTTCAGTGCATGTCTTCCATTGTCCACTAGATGGTAGTGAGCACACAGCTTTTCTTTAGATAATGTTAGTTTGTTTAAATTGTTCAAACTGAAGTGAAGTGATTCAAAAGAACTGTATTCATGTCCAAATACCAAGGTAAATTAAATTACTAATATTAAATTACTTTTATATTAGTTGTAACAAAAACTATAAAAACTCATTTGCATTATACGGGTCCAAATACATAAACACACTGATTCACAAAACAGAATTAAACACATTTAAAAAGTTACCAGATGCTGAGAGATGCAATCCTTTCAAAATGGCCAATCACAAGCAATATTTATCAGTAGACCACACAGACAGGCCAAGACCTCACTAATAATCAGCATGCAAATATAAAACACATTCAGTTCACTGGTTTTGGTCATTTAGAATGCAGGACACAAAATGTAACACTTCTGTGTTTATAGCTCATAAAACTGTGTTATAATTATATCTGTCTTACAGTTTATCTGATAAATAGGCTACTATCAGTCTCGCTATATTTATAAAAATCAATTGAAGAATGTGAAAAACTAAATCATGTGTTGCGTGTGTGCAAAATAAAAATTCAGTCATAATTTCCTTCTTCTGAGGAACAGTGTTTCCACACAGGTTTGGAGGTTTGGAACAACATGAGGATGGGTAAATGATGATCAAATGTTCCTCTTTGAGTGAACTATCCCTAAAAGCTGAACTATCAGTAGCAGGTAAACCAATCAAACCACAGGAAAATCTATCTGGCCACTTCTTGCTCTTTTCTCTTTCCTGTGTTTTGTCCTTCTCTCTTTACCTGTGAAACAGAGACCTCCTATGTAACTTAAGCACATCACAACAGCTTCCATTTGACACCTACCCTGGATTTCTCATCAGCCAAGGACTCTCTTGACCCCTCCTACTTGATTCTGACACTGTTCTGACTCACCCTTTGATTCCCTTCAGGTTTGGACTATATGGACCTGTGATATACTGCTCAGAAGGGAGGTGACTTCACCCCACCCTGTCCCTCTTTTTCTTTGTCTTTCTCCTCCTTTGACACACTCACAGTGCCCTCTCGTTTATCATAGAGCAGAGAGGAATCAGAGAACTGCAAACCGTTCTTGTCCTCTCTTATTGTTCATCTCCAGTGTTCCCAGTCTGACAGACTTTTGGCTCAACTCCCCATCTCTTTCTCTGCCTGAAGAATCTCAGCCATCTATGGCCTAAAAGGTCAATAAACTAAACCATTGTGCCAGCCACTTCAGTGCAAAAATTATATCAACATTTAAAACTAAAATTAAATTGTATTTTAGTGCAAAAACGTCTTAATGACTAACCTCCTGCAATCCAGTTTAACCAGCTAAATTAATTAATTCATGCAATAGTATGAGTGAGTACTAGTAGCTGTTTTTAATTAAAGGCAGGGTAGGTGATTTGGTTCAAAAATACTTTTGTTATGCTGATTGAAAGTCTCTTCACATCCCAATAGCAATCACTAAGTTAGTGGTCTAAATGTATTTATGTCTATTTATATCATCTGTGGAAGGTGTAGGATCATAAAATGTTTGTCCAATCATTTCCCTCTGTCCAAGGGCTATGTTAGGCTGCCCTACCTGCCTGTTAACCTGTCTGCCTGTGCACATTCATGTGTTTTGGAGGAGGTATGGCTTTGGAGAGTGATTTGCAGGGAGGGTGAAATCTTATGCTTTCAAAGCTGGCTTGCTATTGCTAGCCTCTCCAAAGTCGCCTACCCTACCTTCAATCTGGTGATTAATCAGCAAGGACACATTAAATTGTTCCAAGTGAAAGTAAGGACATTTATAATGTTAAAAAATGTCTATTTTAAATAAATGTTGTTCTTGTATTTGTTACTTTATATTCATCAAAGAATCCAGAACATTAACAATTATCAAATATTTAGGTAAGAAGGTAAGAAATGTTTCTTGAGCAGCAAATATTAGAAAGATTTCTGAAGGATCATGTGACACTGAAGACTGGAGTAATGGCTGCTGAAAATTCAGATTGGCCATCACAGGAATAAATTACATTTCAAAATATATTTAAAAAGAAAACAGTTATTCTAAATTGTAGTAATATTTCACAATGTTATTGTTTTTACACTGTATCTGATCAAATAAATGCAGCCTTAGTGAAAATAAAGTAAATTACACTGTCATTTCAATATGGATAGATGGATGGACAGATAGGAAAACTAGATAGATATAATGAAGATGGATTACAAACACTTACCAAGATACTGGCCCTTGCCTTCTCTGAAGGGTGGCCCAACAGGCCCCTTCATTATGGGCTGCACATATTTCATCTGAGGCATGGGGGCGTAACCTCCACCCAGGGCATGATTCCCCAACGCTAGCAGGACACAGAGCACTGCCAGCATTGTCACTGTCCTCTGTGGTCACGGGCTTTCAAACTGCAAAGAGAGAAAGATCATTGACACATCATTTTACACTGCAACTGTAAAGTTACAATACTAATATTTATGGCTGTCTTAATTTGAACTTTTATTTTGATGGAAAACTACCAGTGGAAATCGTGCAGCCCTAGAAATATTATCTTTTTGCTGGGTGTTATAGCAGGCATATGTTACTCACTGCATAATGTTTTCATCTCCTTACAAAGACTGAGTTCTTTACTCCTAATAATTTTTGGAGACCTGAATGAGCATTCAGTTTCCCTTCACGTTCCCGTTTATGTTGGCTTTACCAATGTGCTCGGTTGGATTTCAAAGTTCTATGCCAGTCAGCACTACTTCCAATAGGTGTAAATCTGAGTGACAGTGGCATACATAAACAGCTCTCCATGTGCTAGCCTGTTCAGTGATGCCTGGCACGGGATACAACACATGAAAGTTTTTCTCGGCTACAACATAGGCTACAAAACACTGAGAAAAAAGCAAAGTAAAGCCCTTCTTTTTAAACTTTAGAAGTTAAATGTTAATTTAGGCCTTGTTTCAGAATCTATGAGTTCTGTTTTTTGGTGTAGGCGAGCAGCCTTGTCAGAGGTACATGGTTTCACTTGAGGGCCTACAGAGATGCTTACAAGAAGAGGATCTTCCTACACGGCTGGCTGTCGGATGGGTCACTGGGTAGAGTTATTGACCCCACACAAGTTACGCCTGGGCGATGAGGTACGGATGCCAAAGCCTAGGTAGGGCTCAGTGCCTCAGCGTTTGTTTAACCAGTCGTTCCCCAAGACAGCTGCAGCTGTTTGCTTTAATTTACTGCAGGAAGGAATGATAATTTCATCCTCATGTTACTCGCACCAAAAATTTACACAGATTTGATCAGGTGCATGGGAGAGACCACTGGCTCGGAGAAGAGGGGTGCTGACGGCGTCAATTTAGGGTCTAACAGTGGGGATATTGAGGATGTCAGATTACATTCTCCTAAGTGTCTGACATCTACATCATCAGTTGTCTTGGATGTCTCTTTTTTACCTGCTTTCATGGATTACACCAGTTGATCTCAATCGGTGCTTTCTCCTCCATTTTGAAGGCTGACTCATGTTCTTATCTTAATTAGGCCTATCCATGGTTATACGCATAGTTGCATTTTATTCTTTGCATTTAGCATTTTTCCTGTAAATCTGTCAGAACTGGGCTCTGGGCAGGACTCTTGAAACATTCTTAAAGGTTTTTTCATCATTGACAGATGATAACAAATAAACAAGTAATGTCATTACAAACCTGTGTTTGGATTGACATGAGAGTGAGTAAATGATGAAAAAAATATATAAATAAAGTATAAATAAATGTAAATAAATACATTACAATATATAATAAATCAATACAATTTTGAACTGATTTTCTGATTTTTTTTCTGATTCTTATTTTTTTAATTTTTCTTAAGACAAAACTTAAGAAGAATACTTAAATCAAACACCTGAATGTTCTTAAACATTATCATAATTAACAAACTTCAGATAACCTCCAACTTTTCTTAAATCCCTTATCTTGAAATTATTGGGTTGTTCAAATATAAAATACTAGCTACACATAAAACATATTACTATATAAGATTTATTTTTGTATAGTATAGCAAGTAAATTCTATGATAGTTAATGTCATTAGATTATTTATCTTAAGAATCCGGCCTCAGACCTACATTTATGGCCAGTTCTAGACTTGACATCACATCTGGATGAGCTGTCCTGTGCTCTGAGTGTGTGACTGAATGTGGAAGATACTTTATTGAAACGCCTCCCATTCCTTCATTTCTACACACTGTGTTTTCCCAGAGTGCTGAACCTGCGAAGCCTGAGGGATGGAGCTTAAAGTCTGCTGATCTTAAATTCAGTCCAAAAGCACATGGACATCCTATCCGTGGCCTTCACAGTTCACAGGTTTTGGTTTGCTGTTCTCAGTGGACCTGGCCAAGCCAAGACACATTCATAACCTACCTCACTTCCTATTTCAATGTGCTGTGACAGCTGAACTCTCTCTCGTAACCACAGGTTTGAACACAGAAACCCACTAGTCAGCCCGACTGCATCTGCAAGCATGAGACCCACAAGTCAGATCAACTTTCTTCACAGTGCCACAGCTCAGCAAGAACCTCTTTAAATTCTAACCAAAGGTTAATGGTGCCCCTTTCTCAAATATAAACCCTTTTCCACAGTTTAAACAGAGGCTCCTGCAAGGACCATATCAAAGACTGTAATCATTTGAGACACTTTCCATGAGTAGGGTACAAAATAATGTCCGAAACTTTTTTTAAGGTGATGCTTAAGCTTCAAGAATTGGTGATCATCAAGCTCAGGAGAGTAAACTTAATATTACATAAACTTTTTTATTTATTTATATTTTTGAAAATGTTAGTAGTTATGGATGTCTAAATACAACTTAAAACATTAGCCAAATGTCTGTAACACAAAAAATAAGGAGTTTCTGAATAACTAAAGCCAGTCACAACCACTGAAGGTAAAACCATTCGAAAGAACAATAAAAAAATTGCAATTTGGCTAACATTGGTTGTGGTTTATCTTAAACAGATTTAAAAAGAAGCACCGAAGTCAATTGTGCATATTGTTCTAAGAGCAGAAAGGGAAATAAGCAAGTAATCATCCCAGGCATTACAAACTTTATGCCTTTCCCATAGTAAGTTGGTCTCCAAATCAGAATATTGCAGAGAATAATAATTCACCAAGACCGAAAATAAGCATATCCATGAAATTCATGTCTAACTAGACCTGTGAAACTCAATCAGAAATGTTCTCATAAGGTCCTTGTACGAAAACAGAAAAAACAAACACATAATGCATTACTTTTCACTACACCACTTACTCTTACTGCATGCTGGCGGAAAAATAGGCAAAACACTGCAGGGGCCAAAACCTACTAGCAGTAATCTCTAAAAACAACATGGCAGCTCAGGTGGCAACCAAGACACCAAAACTGAGTGAGCCACAAATAAATAGCTTAAAAGAAAGCTATTCCCACTTTTCATCACCTTAAAATAGATGGCTCTTTCCATGGTTGTGAAATGTACACTTTGGTTCTCCACTAAAGCCCAAAAACAGCACACAGGGCCCGGTGTAAGACCTCTTAGAATTGTTTTTAGTATTGTTGACAGCTTGAAAACAAGACAAATATCAATGTTAAAATTAATATTACTAAATCTTGTTTTCATATATTAATAAGCAGTGATTTTTTTCAAAGAAATAATAACAATGTGTATGGATAATAATAATAATAATAACAACAAATGATAAATAAATAAGAAAAGCATAAAAACAAGACAAATATTAATGTAAATTTTTTATCAATTTGTTTTTAAATATTAATAATCGATGAAGAAGTTTTATTTTTTCAAAGAAATAACAACTACAACAACATTTACATTTCTTATTATTACATTTCTTACATACCTTACTTAAGTATTTATTTTTAAATAAATACTTAAGTAAATAATAAAAGTAAATAAAAATCTTAATTAATTCTCTCAATTAATTTTAACTTAGAAATTAAAACATGCTCATCATGCAAGAGGTGTATGTATGAATTGCATTTTAATGCATTTGTGAATTAAAAAAAAGACTATATATAAGTATATATGAAGCAAACACAATTATTGTGTTTTATGAACTTCGAGGCATGTAAATGAAAGTGTGCCTGTGTGTGGCTTGCAAGAGCATATGCTGTTTCCACAGTACAGGCACATGTCTGTTTGATAGACACCATGCTTACGGAGTCAGTGAGAGAGGCGGAAATTGGGTCTGAGAGTTTTATTTCATAAATCAACTTTTCAGTTAAATCTCAGGAGGGAGTGAACGGTGCTTAACCTGTAATGGCCTCCCCGTCTGCCAATCTTATATTGCTCCCCCCCTCCCCCCCATACACACTATCGGCTACCTTAGTAACTATACAGCACTGTACAAACATTTAAGAATGCAGTGCTCATTTTCAACACACTGCACATTTGCTTTCTCTGATTGCATGGTGTATTAGCGGCCACCGTGACCTGAGTCCATGTGGATATTAAAAAGGAGGTTTGGCTAAATTGGCTCATAGACAGCGTTTCTCAGACACACTGACAGAGCAAGTCTCAAAAGCCAACGGGTAACATGTACCGTAACCCTGCTGTGACAACATTTAACAGAATCGTTCAATAAATCACCTATTTAATGCTGTCAGGGTCCTGCTGGGGTGTGCCTTAAGCTGTTTACGCTGCCATTTTGTTCCTCACCTTTCACTTTTTTCCATCAACGGGGCCTCCAGCCTGCGCCAAGGGGCCCATAGACGTTATGCAATGGCCCTAAAGTCAACGCTCCTGTCAAGTTAAGTGACAGATAAACAGTGAATTCAAGTGCCGCACTTCTACTGTTTAATGTCTTCAAATGGGGTTTGTGGATACTGTGGGAACATGTATTAGTTCAGATGAAGCTCCCTCTAGCTTCCCCCAGAGGAAATGTTCTCTTAGACCCAGTAAATAACAGACACTATTCATCGTAGCTGTCTCAATTTCTTGGCTCTGCATACCTTTCACAGTCTTGGGAATACAGCAGTGTGTTTTCTTGTACAGACACACACATGTAGCATGCACAAGAAGTGAGTGTTTAGGTTACACCAGCTGGACCATTAGCCCAGGTGCTCCTATAGCTTGAGTTATGATTGAGAAATTACTTTGTTTAAGTTTAATCAGAAATTAGCCACAAGGGTGTCTGGAGTGCCTTGTCTGTAACCATATTGAACATATGTTTTTCTTGGCTCTGCATACCTTTCACAGTCTTGGGAATACAGCAGTGTGTTTTCTTGTACAGACACACACATGTAGCATGCACAAGAAGTGAGTGTTTAGGTTACACCAGCTGGACCATTAGCCCAGGTGCTCCTATAGCTTGAGTTATGATTGAGAAATGACTTTCTGTTTAAGTTTAATCAGAAATTAGTCACAAGGGTGTCTGGAGTGCCTT